AAAAAAAAAAAAAAAAAAAAAAAACAACCTTCCCTCCCTCCCTTCCTTATCACTCTTTCAGTCTAGATAGGTTGATAAAATAATACTATTTTTTATAGGGCCTGATTATTACCATGAAAATATATAATTTTTATTATTATTAAGATTGTAAATGCTCAGTATATTTCTTGCTGTAAAAATGTGATTGTAAACTTTGGAATTGCTACTTAATAAAATATGTTATTAGTTTTTTTTTTTCCAAGATTGAATGGTATTCCTAAAAAAAGGTTGATAAATATATATTGTCATTTTCTTGATTGATTTTTGTGTTTAATTAATTTTATTTGTTGATTTGGTAGTAAACCTAATTTTATCTAATTAGTATAAACTGAAAGAGGTTCCACTCCATAGAAGATGTGACAACTGGCCTGTCTGTTAAAATTATTTTTAAGCACATGTAATCTGAGCTACAAACTATGAATGAAGAAATATTTGAAATAATAATCCTTCAAATTCATTAGAAAAAACTCAAAGCATGTTTTTTTTTTTGTTTGGAGATATAGATTAATGGTTATGATGCCTGCCTTTATATACCTGGGTCTTGAGTCTAAATCCTGTAATATCATTTTAATAATACAAATCTTCTCCAGCTCCATTTTAAGAAGCTTGGTTTATAAAGAACTGTTTTGTCCTTTAGTTTCCATTTCAGGAAATTTCAATAAAGTATACTGAATTGCACATAAACCTATGGAATCAGTGGACTGGAACCTTTATCAGGATTTTATACTATTGAAATTTGTTTTGTTATAAAGCACACTGATTGTAAATTTCTTTTCAATCTCCTTTTACCTAAAAGGGGTAAAAACAGCAAAGGCAACCAGGGGTAAGATATACAGGTTTTCTTTTAGTATGTTTACTGTGCATGCACGTTCATTGCACCAGTTACAGTAATAATACAAGGTCTCCTTTGCTACTGTTGAAATATTCTTTTCATTATTAGCAGCTTTTTAGTTGTTGGCCAAACAAAAATAAGAACATGTTTCTTATCTGCCTATTTTTGAAGTTCCTTTTATTTCTCACAAGATAAGACAACATAGAAACATGGTCACATGATTTTGATTATTTAAAGGTAGCATAGGTCTCAGTAGAATAAACTGGTGGTGGTAGACTACTATATGCGCTGAACTGTGCAAATCCATTTTTATTTTTTTGTCCCCAAGGTTAATTTTATCGCAGTTTTCATTGTACAGTATTTTAGATGACTAAAATTCAAGTATATTATATAGTGCACGGCTGTTAGTTTACCATCCCAATGGCCTGTGTACATTCTTTGGTGAAAAGCAGGGAATAATTATTGAGTGTTCCTTCATTGCGAGTTGGAAAATGTGAGTTGAGAGTTGGAAAATGCGAGTTGCGAGTTGTGAGTTGTGAGTTAAAAATTGCAAGTTGCGAGTTGGAAAATGCAAGTTGCAAGTTTGAAAATGTAAGTTGCGAGTTGGAAAATTTGTATTGCCCTATTTATTGGAAGGACCCCACTAGAACTTAGACCTGAGAGGATCTTTGGAAAACTAACCTATCAAGTCCTATTGAAAGATTAGAACTGGTGGATTTTATATTTAACATTGTTATTGAGGTATAGCAACTTTAGCCTATGCATTAGTCTCACTGTTATTTTTTCTTAACAAGGTATTCTCTGACACAGTTTTTATTGAGATTTACTGGTGTACATTCCAACTTAACAGTTAATTTATGATTTAATGTCAGTAATTTACTAGTTGTCAGAGAGGTGTTTAAGCACAAATTCCAGGGTCCTAGAATAATCTCTTGTTGCATTACATACAATTATAAAAAAAAAAAAAATCAATCTTTAGATCACGTTTACATCGGTATCATTACAATCAACAATTAATATCCATCGTTAGCATCAACAATATATTTTCATATCATATCTTAACTTCTTCAGCATTTTCCACCTGGTCCATATGTAATACCCTGTGAAATGACCATTTTTGTTCACGGCAAATTAATTTGATTTTTTTAACCAAATTGTGAACTTTAAAAGCAGAAAAAAAAGCTACATAAAGGTGCTTGTTATAGTACCTTAAATAACACTATTGTTTTCACATACGTTGTATTGTACTTTATGTGAAAACAATGGTGATTTTTGTTTTGTTGTGGTTTTTGTTTTATTTAGCATCTCACATACAAAAATTTAATTTACATCATCATAAAAACAATACAATAAAATTTCATTACAAAGACATGGTTACATAAGTATAGGAATATAAAAAGAATGCCATGGATAACCCATAAAATTATATTTTTGGCAGAAATATTATATAATTATGCTACGCCCTGTTACCATTTGCAAAGTTCCTTGTTGTGTTAATGTGAGTGTTCCATGCCTCTACTATGTCTGTTTTTGTTTACATGGATATTTACAAATTATGCTCTTGCTGGATCCATTCACATGGACAGAACAAGATATATTTTTGAATCATATGAAACAGGCTAGAGCAGAAGAACCAATCACCACTGTGCCATTTAAATTTTATAAGTCCTATTTACACTACACTTGTGCTTGTTGTGCTTCTTTTAAGAAACAAATGAGGTTGAGGTGACTATAGCAAAATACTTGTAGTTTTTTACTTGTAATTCTCTTTTTAGTTCTGATCATCTAGAGGTAGAATGATTTTTTTTTTTGTGAGCTGGGGATTTATGGCAGCCTTATTTTCATGCAAAGTACAATGTAATAACAATTTCTGTATGCTGTGTATTATTCTTTCTATGTTGCTAGTAATACTGTTTTAATGTTGTTTTGTGCAGTGGCATATCTGCAGGGAAGAAGGGCTAGGTGGAGGGGGAGGTGGTGAGTTGGGGGAAAGTCTCTCTCCCTCTCACACCTCATCCCTTTCCCCTCCACTGAAAATTTGCGGAGCAATAAAGTTAACCCCTGTCCAGACTATCAAATTTTATTTGACAATTAACATGTGATATGCCTTATATAGTCATGATGACATTACATATGACCATATATAGGCACATCATGACTATATATGGGCAGTTTCTTGTCAAAGAAGTTTGAAATAAACCTGGATAGAACTAAGCTCAAGTAGTTAAAAACCACCTTGTATTACCTTTTTTCTTTTTGGCTAGCTAACATCCCTTCACTTTATCATTCAGCCTTTCCCCTCCCCACATTTAACCTCTGTACCCCCATCAGCCCACTATATCAATACCAAGATACGCCACTGGTTTCGTGTGCTGTATATAACTGTACATCATCATGCATGTAATATTTATTGCATATTTATATCTTAGTATATTGATATATAGTGTTATACAGATGAATAATGTGGCCTTCATTTGCGAGATATATAATGCTGAACATATACAAGGCGTAAAAAGCAAAAGTGAGGAAATCTGTAGGCGTAAAGTCATTTTTATTCAATGTATTCCTTTGGAGATCTTGCATGATAATCTCATGAGATATTATATTTTGTTATATTTCATATTTCAACATTTCAAGTGGGACAATTTTCCTACTTAAAAATTTATTTAAATACTATTGTAATGTAGAATGTATGGATTTGTTTTTAATTTTATTAAAAAATGTAATATTAATTATTTTTAATATGTAAAGTGCATAGATGGGACTTGAAGCACCATGCCACAACCAGCATCATTCACCAAAACATAAAAATATTCTTTTTTAGTATATGCATATTCAACTCATTATAATCTTCAAAATGAATATTCATATTTTCTGGAACTTACTATTGCCAATGTTATAAGTAAAAATATTACAACTCCATACTAAAGTATACAATATTGCCATATTCCAAGGCTAATTACTCTGTTTACTCAACATTTAGGATGGCAAGCCCATATTGCTAGTGCTGTTCCATCACAGAAATGATAGTGAAAAGAATTGTTTCCAATTTGATTTAAGTTTTTTTCAGATCACCATCTTTCTATTGGTTAAACCTTAAGACTGATGTTTGAAATATAGTTGTGGCAATTTTTTTTTCACTCATTGCAGATTTCCTCAATTTTACAATAGGTTAATAGTCAGACATTAGAAAAAAAAACATTAAATTTCATACTCTATCTATTCATTTTTCAAGTAGTAGGATTAAATTTCATGCTCTATTCATTTTTCAAGTAGTATCTGATATCTACATAGATAATTTAGTACATCATAATAAATCACATTCTGTTTTTTTTAGGTAAATGTTATATACTAAAACATTTTTTTTCTTTTTTTTTAGGACTATGAGCTTTGATGACAGAAGGAGTACGCATATGACGTCATCACCTTACTCCTCCATGACTCCAAGGCGTCAGACCTCATGGAGACAAGCCATCTTCAACAGGGTTGTAACGCCGGCCAAGGCAGTACCCGGTAGGCTTCCGTTTATGATAAAAATAATGTAAATGTAAAGTGTTTGTCATAGTTGATAAGAGCAGGTGGTCGACATTTCCAAATAAAGATGTTTTTATAAAGTGGATGTGCACAATTAACATTGCATAAATAAAACCATGCACATTGTGCGACCACTTTGGCTCACTTGTGATCACCCTATCTGACGTACATAAGTGTGCTAAAATTAATTTAGACGAAGAATAATAGAATTATATAGCACAGGTAATTTAATTCCAGCCCGAAACATAGAATCAGTATTACCGGGATGATGCCAGGTGTGGTAGTTTTACCTTTGTTATATTATATTTTATTTATTGTTTACTTTTTCTACTTAGAGCCAATTATTACAATACGAATTTCAATGTAAATGTATAATGTTTACAAATGACAATAGAAAGTGTTCAATACCCAATACAGTTTATATACCAAGTAAGCTAAAATTATTATTGGTAAATGTTTTATGTAAAGTAAATATATAGTATTTAATAATATTAAACCTTGATTAACACATTAAACATTCATTTGCAACAGTTTCAAATGAATTTATAATTATAACCAGGATTTTTAAATAATAATAAAATGTTTTTTCTAATGTTTAGAAATTACAAGTAGGCCCTGAACTCATTGATTTGCAATGATTTTTAAACATTATATGGTGTTAATGTTTTGAAATTATGGTAGGCCCCTTGACATATTGACTGATATAGCAGATCATCGGATCAAATTCAATATTCCTGGGTCTGCTGATAATATTATGTCCTCTTTTCCAATCCCAGGGTAGTGCTAGGTCAATAATTACTGGATACACATGAATAGAATAGCTTATTTACTCTAGAACTAATAATGAGACTATTAGAGTAGTAATGTACACAACGCTTAGTTTCCAATTCTCCAATTAAGCAGTTGAATGAGAATGCAACAAAATTACTTCCCACGACAATCAACTGCATTAACATATTATGTACTTTGATAATTTGCGGATTATTGAACAGATGATTGTTAGGCAAGTTGAGCGGTTAAGGCAGGGGCCTGCAACCAACAGCCATAATATCGGTGCTGGTTCGAACAGCACGTTCGCCTAGGGCTCAGGAGGTAGAGCAAGGTAGAAAAAGCACAATTCGTCGGGGAGAAAAAAAAATTATATGTATTTTTTACATGTTAGTAGACTCTGAAACCCCTAAATTGTCAAAATTTTCGGTGGCTTGGCCCCCATGACGACTTTCACAACCTTTTAATCGAAGCTCGACCATGCCCACTTTGCTTTCGTCGGGAATATCTGACCCCTCACCCCCTCCGTCGGGGACCTATTCCCCCCTCGTCGGGCAAATCCTGGCGCCACTCCTGGGGTTATCCCATTGTACTGGTCCATCTCACAGTCCTTGCCCTCATCCAGATGCTGAACAGGCATTGATGAGTATCTGCATAGAATGGAACTAGAATTAGGCTATCACGAG